GTTTTAATTAAAATTCTATAATATTTTTTGAAACATGTTCTATTTATTGTTAACAAGATTGACCTTTTACGTTACACTCACTCACCTAAATGGTGCTCGAATTCTGACAGTGGACATGACATAATAACAATGTAATCAACACTACTGTGCAATGCATCCGAAACATATCAAATGCATTACTAAATCATATACATATATGTAGCTAACAAGATATTGCACATGCAAGTATAGCACGTTTAAGTTAGACTTTTAATTCAATTAAAGACTTTAATGGGCGTAATAGTTGTAAGCGTAAGTGTTTATCTCAATCATATGAAAATTTCCCCTATACATGAGTAGAGAAAATAAAGATTCTGTACCCTCTTTAAGACTGTGCCTCTGTCATTTAATGCTTTCAACTTAGCAGAGACGATTCCTATACACATAACTTGATCTTTATCTGCAATTGTCAATTGAAACTTGTTATCTTGTGGCTTGTTTAGAAATCGTGTATACATATATGTACGCGATTGTTGTACGTTCGCACATCATTTTTTTTTTGCTCTCTTTTCGATCTTATAATAAATTCAAGAGCGATTTTGTTTTTTTTTTTTCTTTTCCCTTTATTTTGTATCGCATAATATCTAAGCTAAGTAAATGTATTCATATAATGTACAGTATTTTCGTACATAATTTTGTCAATTGCTTAAATTGTTGTTTTTTTTTTTGTATGAAAAAAAAAAAAAAAAAAAAAAAAACCACAAGAAATAAAAAATGAAAAGCACACGCAATTTCAATTGCCGTTGAAAACTAAGTTAAGCGTACTATCTTAACCTTTGTAAAGAGGTTTATTGAAAGTTTGTTGTTGTAAATATCAGAAATCTCATGAAAAACAATTATATATATAAAGTTAATTGCTAAAGTTTGAATGGTCCTATAAATAATGTGTGAATATCAATAACTATCGCCGGATATTCATTTCATGTACATACATATATTCGTAATATGTAAGTTTTTCTTTTTCCCATATTCAATGTAAGGGTAAAACAATTCTCCATATGTTCATTTAATTATCGGTAAATTTTTCCTCTCATCATATATATGATGCAGAACATCGAAAGGAGGCCGGATTGAAATCAAATTTGCAAAGTTCGGCCATAATCTTATGAACTTTAATGTCGATGCTTTTTCTTTCCCGAATAATTACATTTTTATACCCATCATCGAAGGATGAGGGGTATATTCATTTTGCGAAAACGTTTGCAACGCCTGGAAGGAAACATTTGAGATTCAACACAGTGCATATACGGTAGATCAGCATTAAATTCTGAATCAATTTAATCATGTCCGTCCGTCCGTCCGTCCGTCCTTCAATCTGTGTTATGTCTATTACAAACATTCTTCTGGCCGAAAAATGATGCTGCCAACTTCAAATTTGGGAGAAACAGTGGAAGTTTTTGCACGCAATTTGGGATGAGAAAACGACTCCAATTGATCGAAGAACATGTCAACAGTACATAAGCTGAAAACACCTTTGTTTTGTCATAGAAATAAAAATTTGGTTATTGGCTTATTACTCATAAACTATAGCAGATAAATTTACCAAAATATATACAACCATATTCTAAGAACGATGCTTGAGTACTAAAAAAATAAAATGAATTGACCGCGCGGACCCAACCTTATGTATAATATAACAAAATTCAATTTTTAGCCAATATTTTTGCAACGCGCAGAAGCCAGCTTTGAAAACCTCATAAAGTATGTATATATTCTTGACCTGTGCCAATTTCGAAATGCATGTTTGTTTGTCTGTCCATCAATCTGCGTGCCCAACTATGTATCAGCTAAAAATTTGTAAAAGCATTTGAAAATGGTCAAACTTTCAAAGGACACACTTACAACGCCCACATACCTACGCGACAAAAACTGAGAACATCTTTGCTTTCCGTGTTTCTTTGTGAATGAAAAAACACAACAGTAGTATAGGGCGAGTTGCAATTGACGAGCTTGAAAGCGGGCTTCAGTTGGGAGCGGTGTGATCCAATGGGCCAGATACCCAAGCCATGCAGAGCAACCAGCGGTATTATGAAATAATAAGTACAAAAATACCACGCTATATATATATATATATATATTTATATATATTTGTGAAAGATTAAAAAAAAGTGCAAAGAGATAAAAAAAAAAGTGCACGACTGTTATGCAATTTAAGAATACATTGGGCGGTCGCCCCGCTTCAGACGCGATTCTATAACCTTACGTTAGTTTTAAGATCTTTCACAAACCTTCAATACTATATTACATTGATTTACTTAGTTTGGTAATATGTGCACACATAGAAGTGCCCTACTGTGCATTCATTTTGCATTCTTCAATTACATTTACATATCAATGTAATCTAATGACGTTCAAAGCCAAATAAGCTTTCAAATTGTCAAACCAATTGTTATATAAATAAAAAAAAAAAAAAGTAGAAAACTTTGAGAAAAAAAAAAAATTTAAACTTAGATAAATAAAACCATGTCATACACATACATGCATACATGTTTGAGAACAAAAAGTCAACATTCAATTGGAATTTATTTCCATTAGTTCGCTTGCTTGTGTAGGCATTTAAAACGTAACGATAGATTGCAGTGGCAAAAAACAATAATATGAGAAGTGAAATCAGTCTTGATCTGGGGCGAAAAAATAAAAGATGTCATTGTGATCGTTTTACATGATCGAATTTAGATTGATAAGCATGAAAACCACAATAGATGCGGCGGCAGAAATAAACTCTAGATGACAGCAAACGAAAGAAGAGCGCAATAAATGAGAATTAAATTAGTGTTGAAATTAATTAAAAAATTATAACAACAAAAACAACAAAAAAACAACAAAAACAACAACAACAACAACAACAACAACAACATAAAAATAAAATAAATTGACTAACAGTTTTAGAAAATTTGACAGATTTTTATTCACATACAGTTCAACGTCTTCAATATTAAAAAAATTCGACACTAAGATCTAAGAAAGGAGTTAAACCTAAAGCAGGTACAATATTATCGAATACTCTTAGTTATTAGGAAATATGCCGTAATAATCGAAAATGTCACGTAATTAACGTTTGAGTTCAAGTTAATCTGAAATCATATACATATATATATATATATATATATACAAACACAAAACATACAAAATATATATACACATATAGCTAAAATAGAAAAAGTAAAGCATTCTAAGTTCGCCTTCGCATTCGCATTAAATTATTATAGTGTATTGAAGCAGGATTGTATGGGTGAATTCAAATACTAGAATGCGATTATTCTCTCTATTCTACTTTAAAAAGATTTTGATTACCCGAAATTTTATACTGAAATTGTCAAGATATAAATATGAAGTTGCGAGCATACGAATCAATTTCAGAACATTCACTTGCTTTGTATTATCTTCCATGCAAGACTACATGTGAAAAGAAGAATAAACGTTAGTTGCAAGCATTGTTGCTAAGAAACTCGAAATACCAATAGCTCGTCCCTATCGTCCTCTATTATGAAAGTGATTTTATTTTTTTTCTTTTAAGAATTCTATCCACTATTAGAAGATTCTATCTATTAGAAAAAAGTTGGCAACTAAATGTATGAAGAACTGGGATTCAATAGCTTCATCATAATATTATGACGAAAAAAGTGTTGTCATACTTCAGAAGAAAATGTGTTAAGTGTGAGTTCCTCTCCAACATAGATCATAGAATACCATTACCATCCAGATCGCCAATCTTCTTTGAGACTTAATCTCCGGAAAGAAAAATTAACAAACCATGTATTGCAAGCCCGATCATTTACAACTTCCCTTCCGAACATGTCACATAAGCCACTCATACCAAAAACAAACGTGTTAAACGCTTACTAGGAAGTTACGTATACATGCATCGTATAGCGTGGACCTTTGCTCGGTTCAATCACTATTCATTTCACTCTCTCAAAAACTGTCTACGGCGTAGAACTCATCATCTGACATCAGAGCTCTCCGCCCAAAGTATTCCAAGAATTGAACGCATAATGATTTTGACAGAAAAATAATAAAAGCTGATTGACTTATTATGTTTCACAACAAATAAGGATCGTGAACAAATCTTTCATACCCATCGCTCCGATCCTAGAAAAAGGGCGAATAACTGAACTTTCTTACTCTATAATTTTGGATGGGCGTGGTTGATTTTTTCAGTTTTCAAAATAAAAATTTTTCTCGCATAGACATGTGGGCGTATTAGGCGTGCACTTTGAAAAGTTTAACTCACTTCTAAATTCTTTTGCATATTTGTAGGCGATATCTTCACTTGTGCGAACAGGAGACGGTTGACCACAGGTACTACGTAGATAAACAGACGGGCCGATGGGCAGACGAATATGGTTAGGTTTATGAGATTTTTGAAACTTATGCCCACATTGCACATTGTAAAGGTTTAAAAAGAAAATGGGAATAGGCGTTTTTGTACCGCTGCTACTGCATTGCGTATATGAGCGTAATGAGGAAGACAACAATTTTTTATTCGTCCTAAAAAATAGAGGTATTGTCAGTTTACATGGTGCTGTAGGCGTGTCCTTCGATCGATTTGGTCCATTTGCTATACCAACCTGCGTGCAAGAGCTTCCAACGTTTCCGCCAAATTTGAAATCGATAGCTTCATATATGCGGCCAAGAGAATGTTTAGTAACAAATAGACAAACAGACGGACATGCTTAAATCGTTTTAGAATTTGATTCTAATCAAGAATGTTTATATACTTTGTGGGGTCTCCGATCCTTCCGCTTCCTTCTACGCGTTGTAAATGTGAATGCAAGTGAATATACTCCTCATCCATCGGTGATGGGTATTAAAAGTGGAATTAATAATAATCAATAAAAGATCGATAATTAAAATTAATTAGTTAATAATTATTTCTAATTTTTATTTCTTGGAGGCACTTTTTATTTTCAGAATTACTTTAAGTAAATCAAAACGAGATATATATAACTAATTTTTTTAACTACAACTAGACATTAATATTTAAATAAATAATAAAATAAAGCTCATACTAAGATTTTCATATAAACACTTATATTCGAATGAATATTATCTTTAGGTGATGCAATTCTCTCTCTCATTTCGATATTTATTCACAATTGAGTAATGCGTTCTTATAAGCATAGCGACCACAGCGACGTCACAACAATGACAAATAAAAGTTGAACAGTTGTGATTGTGCGTAAACTGTTGTCGGCTCCGTTGCATCCATCGGTGTTGCATGTATAAATGCACGATCTGTAATCCATGCGATCACCTTTATTACGTACATAATCACAATAGTTTCCTAAATCTTTTGATGAGCAAAAACGCTTTGCACCTATACCCCCTTCAAAGCGGCCAACATGTTTAATGCAGAATTTAGCGTCGTGAACGTTTGAACAATTTTGTGTCTGTATATCGGGTCGATCGAAACGTTCAAACCATTCGCCACATTGAAACGGTGTAGTCGTGTCCGAGGTGTCACACACATAACAATTGATTCCCAGTGCTGTACTTAAAATTGCATAGACTATGACGCTTTGTAGTACAACTTTCAACATATTTCCTTTATTTATTTATCTCTTTACGTTTCTGTACACAACTTCAGGTATATTTACTTTATCGGTGGCAGAAGAATAAGAAGAAGAATATAGTGAAATGAAATAAAACAAAGCAACAAAAAGCAAAATGCGATGTTAATAATAACAAAACTCTACCATTAATGCACAAGAAGAAAAGCCAAAGCAACACACTCAAATGTCAAGCCTGTACTGATATTTCAAGTTGTAGGTATTTTTAATGGCGTCACAGCCATAGCCGGTTTATAAAAACCTTGTCTCTTACTCTTACGTTCTGGTTTCTGTGCTCATTAATTTAACCTTTTGTTTTATTTTTTCTCGTTTTTTCCATTTTTCGAGTTGAAATTCTCTTTCATATTTCCTTATGTAATAGTATTAGTTAATACGCTCTTTTTGCCGTTGAGCTCTACAAAAACTCTTAAATGTAAACAACGAACCGTAATGGTTAGAAGCCCATTTATTTCCAGCGGTCTAATGAAAATAAAGAAAAATATATATATATATATATATATATATATATATATATATAT